AATTTAGGTACAAGATCCTCAAAGAGTTCGTCTTCTATTTTACGTTCTATCTTTAATTTAAAAGACGGAGTAAACTCATAGCCTTTCTTGAGTTTAACAAACAGCACTACTCTTTCTTCTTTTTCTGGTATATATTGTGCTACGCAAATTGAATCTTCAATTTCTTCAATGCCATGAACTAGAAAAAAAATGCGTTTTATGTTATTAAAATTATTTAGATTGGTAAGTACAAATATTTGAAACTTCGGGATTAAATTTAATCACTTTTAAAATATGACACCCGTTCGTTTTCATTAGAGAATAGATTAGAAAAATTTAAGATAAGAAATAATTAGAAAATAAAGAATATTTAACTTTTTTTTATTCCTCATCGTTTTTTTTTTTTTTTTTTTTTTTTTNTTTTTTTTTTTTTTTTTTTTTTTTTTTTTTTTTTTTTTTTTTTTTTTTTTTTTTTTTGCAGAATATTTAACGTATTACAATATTTTATGTGAAAAAAAGCATTTATAGTCAGCATAACTGAAAGTTACATGATTCGAAAACAATAGTTTAAATGGCTATTTGTACATTCAGAGGGTGTTCCACAATCACCACCCTTAATATTTAATTTTAAAATCATTTACGAAAGCAAACAATCATGCTCGTTATTAGTTATAAATTAATATCTAGTAAAGAATAAACAAAAGCGCCATAGATACCTGTTGAATTACTAATAAATGCACAGTAGAAACGTCAAAACCAGCTTGATTGGCTGATAAGACTTAGAGCTATTTTTCGTTTACATACGCAATCAAACATGTTAGGACATTTTCATGTTTTCTTTCATCCTTCTACACTAGGTTTCTATTAGAGTTCGATGGTAATTTTTTGCTTTATTTATGATATTACCCAATGACAATTCTTAGTAGATTTAATTGATGACAGGGATTTTTAATATTTAAATTAAGAATGGTTACTCTTCATACACTAATTAATGGTTTAACTTACCACCATATTAAAGTTGAAACAAAATTGAGTGAAATTATGATATTTCAACATGTGTTTCAAAACTTCTACAAATACTGAAAATGTGCTTAAACAAAGATGATTTATTTATACTTTTTTCTGAAAATTTTCGTAACTGTCTGTTCTCACTGACTAAATTGCTCATTAAAACGATTGCTCAGAAGTTTATTCGAATTAGAAATCAGTTTTTAAATTGAATATAAGCATATTCCATACGAACATTCAATTACTTAATATTTTATAAGTACTCACAAATAATGTCATCCACAAAAAGTAATGAGGTTTTAAAAATACAAAACAATTGTTTTCTCTTTATATATAATATTATATAGAACATTAGAAAGAAATAATTTATAAATCGTATTCCAATATGAGCATTACACTTACTTGCAAAATAAATATCTTCTGGTCCGAATCGATCACCATTTTGCACAAAAGTATCATCGCTGAAATAGTTAAGCTTAATTTATTACTAAGCATGATTAATTATAACATTAAAAAAACATTACGATAACGTTGCAAGGATTAAAATATGATAGACAAACCCAAAAACATTTATCAGGTAGTTGGAAGTGATTTCTCTTTGATGCAATAAGCAATTCAAAATAAATAAATAAATGTTTTTTAAACATTTAACAAATGTAAAACAACAGGCGGAATTGCAAAATCCTTTCAGTAATTTTGCTCTAATGATTGTGTTCTTACAGTTTGAGAGCCAACTTAATGGATGGTACTTAAAATTCAGTTTTATACGTAGAACAGTCAGAAACCAAACCAAACTAATTCNAAAAACTGGGTCCTGATGAAAAAAACGTAAAATGCAGGGAAAACGTAAATTCGGGGGCTGATTCAACAAATGCGGCACTTTATTAATTGATCTCTAGTTATTTAGAACAGTGTTCGTTGGATATTTGCACTGATTACATTGGTGGGGTTTCCATAGCTGGGATGTTGGTATTTGGCACAGATTTATGTAGCCATGAAAATATGAAAACGTCACGAATTTTTGGTGCTCCTGACATTTAAAGGGCTGTTCTGAAAAGGGAGTTGGTTGCAAAAGTATCCTTATCTTAATGAAACTTCATTCAAGTTATAAAATTTAGAGATTTCGATTTGCTTAGAGGATGGCGCCATTCTGACTCCTGGAAATTTTTGAGACTATCTTAATGCGTAATTTATCTACGAATAACCATTAACTTCAGAAAATAGTATTTTATCTGGCATCTTGACTTTTTATGGCTCTTTGTGAGAGAACGATTTCTACATCTCAAAATTGATAAGAGACATTGTTTTAAGCTTATTATATATATATATATATATAATAAGCTTAAAACAATGTCTCTTATCAATTTTGAGATGTAGAAATCGTTCTCTCACAAAGAGCCATAAAAAGTCAAGATGCCAGATAAAATACTATTTTCTGAAGTTAATGGTTATTCGTAGATAAATTACGCATTAAGATAGTCTCAAAAATTTCCAGGAGTCAGAATGGCGCCATCCTCTAAGCAAATCGAAATCTCTAAATTTTATAACTTGAATGAAGTTTCATTAAGATAAGGATACTTTTGCAACCAACTCCCTTTTCAGAACAGCCCTTTAAATGTCAGGAGCACCAAAAATTCGTGACGTTTTCATATTTTCATGGCTACATAAATCTGTGCCAAATACCAACATCCCAGCTATGGAAACCCCACCAATGTAATCAGTGCAAATATCCAACGAACACTGTTCTAAATAACTAGAGATCAATTAATAAAGTGCCGCATTTGTTGAATCAGCCCCCGAATTTACGTTTTCCCTGCATTTTACGTTTTTTTCATCAGGACCCAGTTTTTCCGTATACCTCCAATGTTAATTTTACCCGGATTGTAAGTTTTTAATTTACGGAATTTCCCGCATTTTACGTTTTTTGTAGAAAGAAAAAAAAGAAAAAAATGTTTTAATAAGCAATATTTTTTCTATGTTTGCTTTTTTAAAGCTCATCCACGTTGTTGAAAGTAAATCTATGAAAGCAGAAACGCATTCCACAGACTACTGTTTTCTAGACTTTTGCAGAAACTGAATAAAAAGATGAAATTTCAGAACTGCAAAATAATTTTGTTCATCGATCAATGCAGTACACATCCGGATTTGCAGCTATCTAATGTGCGTGTTGAGTTTTTTCCTGCAAACTGTACAAGCAAATTACAGTCTTGTGATCTCGGCATTATTCGATCATTTAAGGTTTTTTACAGGAAGCAACTTGTCCGGAAAGCTGTAGCTGAACTAGAGAACGGAAACCTAAATGACGCCTGCAAACTTAAGTTAAGTGTTCTGGAGGCTATGCATTTTATTTCTGCTGCTTGGAGAAGCGTTACACAAAAGTGCATTTCCCACTGTTTTGAAGAAAGCGGAATCGTAGCTTCTAATGAACCGTTAACAGATGCAGGATTAGATAGACTCGACTCGGAGAATGACAATGAAACAGTTAGCTATGACTTCGACGAGTACATCCGAGAAAACTGCGAAGCAGCATGCGAAGCTGAGAAAACCACTGCTCCATCCGTGGACGATGTTATGGACTTTTCATCCGCCGATGAAGATGAACAAGAAGAAACAGAAGTACAGCCCGTTCCTTCTTTCAACACAGCATTGAGAAGTTTGCTAATAGTGAAAGACTATTTTCTATCATACAAAGACCAGGAAAAAAATTTGCAAAAGATTTCAGTCCTGGAAGATGAGGCATTTACTTTGAACTCAATGTCTAAAAAACAATCTACTATTACGCACTATTTTGCACCTAAATGACATGATTCTTAACAAAAATTGTAAAAGTGATCTTGAACTGGTATGTTTTTTTCTTTAAATACTAATATCATTTTCGTAAAATATAGATTTTAATAGTACCTTTTGAAAGAGTCAACTTTACTACCTTTAGTTTGTTTTATTTTCCCATTATTATTATATGATTTTTTGCTATCTAAGTATTTCCCGTATTTTACGTTTTCCCGGATTTTACGTTTTTTTTACCCAGTCCCCTGAGAAACGTAAAATCGGGGTTTCACTGTATATATATATATATATAAAGGGTTTTTTAATCCTATATCATTTCAATAAGTGATTTTTAATCCCTATTATGTATTCTTTTTTTAGAACTAGATTGCCAAGAATAGAAATAAAAGGCATAATTCCGCAAATGGCTGGAAAAAAATTTCTTGTTTAATACAATTTCCCTTAATTGAATACAAAGCAAAACTTTTCCAAATGTAAAAATTTTTTAATCAATTTGATGTAGTACTATGCATAACATTATAGTAGTAATACTTACCATCGACCCTTAATGGAAATGCCATGGGTGACAGGATTGATAATACAGTTATCACTTTGGCACCAGACACCTACAAAAATGTGTAAATAAAATCAGCCAAATAATAACACATTTAACTTTACTTAAAATAATTAAATTTTTAATAGCCAATAGTGTAATAGTTTAGCAGTGAATAGTAAAAACTATTATTTGGTAATAGCTAAGAAATTTGTTTCAACAAAATGTAAAAGAATCTATTTTACATATTCAGTTTTCACGAACTCCTTCAATTTTTTTGGATGAAAAAAGCGTAATTTTATTTTAGTGGAAACAAAATTAGTTTGTAGGTATTAATTTTCAATAAACAGGAAAATAAATTAATTATACAAGTTTTTTTCGATACCGAGACATTAAACTTATTAAATGTGAAAAATTTAATAATTTTACCTGGGAACTGTGAAAGGTATTTTGAATGAAGAATTTTATTATCTGTATCTTTCCATAAATAGGAAGGCAGATTTGGAGCTGGAGTTGCGATGACCACAGTACCCATTTCACCAATAACTGCTTCACCTGTTAAAAGAATGTATTTAGTTTAAAGCATTTCATACATATCCGATACTTCATGCTACGCCTGAATAAAGTAAAACAACGTGAATAAAACAAAAATGAAGGTACAAAAATTGTAGTGGACTATTGCAGTTTCGGTTCCATAAACAAGAATATTCCTCTGAGGCATAAGAAAGTTGCTTGCATTTTGACACTGAGGAACGTTCTATTTTGTAGAACCGAAACTATAATTGTCCATTTTGGTACCTTCATCTGTGCTATAATCGTGTCATCGTTTTAATTTATTCATGACATCCATATTTCGTTTTACATGCACATTTAACTAAAATGCATAAGACACTGTAAAATTTAGGTATAACTGGGATTGCTATTTTCTAAAGTAAGAAAAATTAAATTTTCTATATTGAGAAATATTTTCGAATTGCATTTATTTTATATTTTTTAAGCTTACAAACTTTTAGCGGAAAATATGTTTTACATCAAAACAAGCCGTTATCTTTAATGAAACTTAACTTAAAAAATTTATTAACTTAGCTTACAAACCTTATTTGAGGAAGAATTTTTTTCATTATTAGATATGGTAAAAAAATTTATAGGGTCGTTTTCATATGGTAATTTTTAAATTTTTATTATTAAAAATATTAAGCATAAAATGTACTTTATTTGAATTTTTGGCAAACTACAACTTTAAGTCTAATGAATGTATTGCTTTTGCTAACTTATCTGTTTTTTCTTGCCAGAAACGAACTGAAGGTGTACTTGTTTTAAAATAAGATCGAAATAAACATGAAAAAAAAGCATCCATGTTCATGCAAGAGATTTGAAATCCACTCCAATTTTTAATCAGTAGTGTTGACCCACCTTTCAAATAAAGCCTTGATATTTTTACTCAATTCTATAAAAAATTGAGATCAAATTACGGTATTAAGTACCAGTGCTTGGCCGGAATAGCCTGGTTGGTAGAGCACTGGACCCATGTCCGAGAGTTCATGGGTTCAAACCCCGCCTGCCGAAGACTGCCCGTGTAGTAAATGGTGACTAATGCACGTTAAATCTGCCAAGTCGCAAAGTCCTCCATGTTCCCATAAATCAATACCTCTGGGGGTACTGGATTGGAGATTGATCGTTCTCTGATTCAGGTCAAAATTACGATTTGTGGATGTATGAATGGATATATGGATGGGTCCGCCCTATAAATGGGTGTGTCAGAAGTCGAATTCTTGGCCATAGATGGCGCTACTGGGAAACTAGAGCAATCGTCCCCCTCAGCCTTGTACGTCAACAACAGTATTAGTGCTTTGAATGAATCATCCGTAAAATCCGCTTTTACCGTCAAATATTGTATCATAATATTTATAGAAATATTTATTTAATTAAAGTGATTAAGTGTTTTTAGTGTAATTTATACTATAAAAGTTATATTATATCAGGTTTTTTAATCCGTAACATTTACCGGTAAGAAGGGATTTTAAGGTAAAAAGTACCAGTACCCTGAGTGCTGGTACTTTTTACCGTAATTTGATCCAGATTTTTTTAAGACTATTAGATTTGACTAAGGATCACATATTACACGATAAACAATTATTTTAATAGAAGCAAAGTAATTGAAGCTTATTAATGTTTCAAGAAATTTAAATGTGAATAGTTAATAACCAATATATTGCTTTACATTGTTGTAATATTGTCAGTACTGTTTAATGTAATTTAACCGAGAATAAATAATCCAAAATATGCTCATTAATTTATACCAACCTTTATCGTTATAGCAACGAATATCGATACCCAGAGAAGGAAGTTGAATTTCTCCCGCATAACTTGGGGATTTCATATATATTCCTGACACCATTCCAAAGTATTCGGTGGCACCTATAAATTGTTATCTAAAATTACTCTGTTGAAACAATTTGCTAAAATGAGTGTGAAATGATCTTTACTATTTAATTAAAAGTATCGTATAACTGAAGGCGACATAGATATAAATTACTTACCCATATTTTTTTTTTGTTGTATAAAGATAAACACATTTTCCTTTAACACAGATTGCAGAAATATACAAATTCTTAAGAGAACCGTGGTGGCTCAGGGGATGGAGAGTTCGCCTTCCAATGAGGTGAACCGGGTTCGAATCCAAACAATGGCTGGTCGATAAGAAATCTGCACCCTTATCACACCGACCAACATGCTGACGTAAAATTATCTCAGTGGTGGACGGATCATGGGTTAGAGCAGTGTTTCCCAAAGTGTGGTACGCATACCCCCAGGGGTACGGGAATAGTTTAGCGGGGGTACGCGTTCTTATGCGAAATATCTTGCAACAAACGAATATTTCACTTAAAAACAAAGCTAGCCATGAAAATTTACGATTGCGTATTTTTCTATATTTTTTGCAAAGTTAACAGTTAATAATTAGAGGTAGCCAGTTGTATTTGTTAACTTTAGTGCAATTTTTTTATAGTAAAAAATACATTCATTTTTTAGTGGTACACAGCGTTACGAAAAATTTAGAAAGGGTACACAAAAGTCATAAGTTTGGAAAATACTGGGTTAGAGTCCCCTTGCCGTCAGACTAACAGTGGTAGGTTTTCATAATTTTCCTCTCAATTAAACGCAAATGCGGATAAGTTTCATCAAAAAGTCCTCCGCAAACGATAGCTTGACCCAATGCTTGATCCAGGAGTACCATTGTTTTCCGTGTTGGGTTCAAAATTACAAGGCTATGGTGTTGAATATTGATAATTTTATACTCAGAAATTGGGACGGCTGTTCCACACCGGTAATAAAATAAAATAAAATACTTAAGAAAGTAAACCTTAATATTGTGTTGCCATTTCTCCACAAAAAGCTGCGTACAGCTACTTCAGTCGAATGAAAGCTTTTGTTGAATATTATAATTAAAAGCAGGAGAGTTTTAGTTCTTTTGAACTGTGGGTTATAACTTTTTACCCTTCAAATTTCTTTATCACCTGACAATTATTTTAATCAGTTCAAATAAAATTAGTAATTCTAAGAAGAAGAAAAATTTCTAAGAATTTAACTTACCGTACATGTTTGAAATAAGCACTCTTGGAAAATATTTGAGAAGAAATTTTACATTTTGTGCTTTCACTGGAGAACTCCCAATAGTTATTAACCTCAACTTATCAAATGATAATTCTGGATCTAAAAAGACAGAAAATATTATTTTAAAAGATTAACTTTTATACAAATGAAAAATTTTTAAGTGCATTTCCAAATTATGACGAACATACACATAAGATTAAAAAAAATACAAAGAAAACAAGAAAAAAAATGAAAAGGAAAAACTTTTTTCAAAAGAAGAAGGTGAAGAAAAGTAACCAAATATAACAAATTTATTTTAAAAATTCTTTTAAAAATTAAATAGTCATAAACGATTTAGTATAGGGTAGAATGACATACGGTGGATAGAACGGTAGAAATTCAAAACTTTTATGAGCATATTTTTTTTTTCAAATAATATGCAGAAGTTTGGTAAAATTTAGTTAATATAGATAGGTTAAAATTGATTTAAATTTCCCGAAAATATAACCACTTTAAATTTAGAATATTATAATTTAATTAAAATGAGGTTTTTCGTGTCTGTAGCAGAACAGCAAGTATTGTGCTTGGAACTTTTACTTTTTTAAACAAAATAAGAGAACAAGGGGGCATCAAACCCTTGTCACCTTAAAATTGACAAAACGAATTTTTTTTCATAGTTTAAATATAACTTGAATTTTAAAATTACGGAAGTAAAAGAAGTTACAACATGTAAAACATTACTGTTAAATGAAAATTGTATACTCAACTAGAAAATGGAGGGACACTAATTAACATACCTCCCCCCCACTTCACATTATTGGTGAGATTACGATTTATCAGAAAATGTTTTACTGCATGATTGAAGTATAGTGCGGCTTTCAAGAGAACTCCTCCTGACACTCGTCTCGCGCCGTGGCGGGTACGATGGTTACGATGAAAAATCACTTCGAATAGGGATGTGGGGTGAATAGTTTTGTCTTAATCTTAGCGTAGGCCGTCGTGAGTAAACCAATCGACACCTTCCTTCCTCCATTTCAACCCCATTATGAATGTGCTCTCGCTTGTTACCATAGCAGCAGACAGCCCCATACCTTCAGTCTGGAGGAGTTCTCCTCAAAGCCGCATTATAGGAGGGACAGTCTCATGGATTACTTTGAGCGCAGTACACAAACCTTTATCAAGGGAGGAGGTAAGATGTTAGAGGCATAGCGCAATCAGCCATCACAGCCTGCTCCAATTTTATCAAACACGCTACCGACGCACTGTGGGCCAGAAGACCATGATCTTTGACCAAAAGTCAAAAATTAAATTTTCAACTAAAATATGTGTTGGCAGTTTTAATGTAGCCCAAATTAAGTAT